CATCGCCCGTACGTTCTACGAGAGAGAGAGAGAGAGAGGTATGGAGAGAGTAATAAACCCCATTGCAAGTCTTGTTGGCCAAATGATTGAATTACGACCAACTCCGAGCTCTCTGTGCCGGTTGTGCAGGATAGCTGTGACTGCCACAGTAGGCACAGTAGGTGCCAATTGAGCCTTTTTTTGTAATTCCTCTGCTTTCTGTGGAGTCTGTGACTCTAATCATGGTGAATGAGACACTGCCATTCGGACAACGGCGCCCATCGGAGACCTCCGACAGGGCTTGCCATGTGGGTCAACAATCCAACTCCGAAATCAACCCCGAAAGGCTCCAAAATGACATTCGATCTAGGCTTAGCGGCTTGCTGAAAAACCTCCAAGTAAATATCGGAAAACACGGGCTCTGATTGGATCTGACAAGAAGAGGATACAAGAGGAATGAGGTTGTTTGTGGAGTAATGGAAACGTATCTCGAGGGGCAAGTCTCCTTATCGATAACCCCCCACTCTGCTATTTAAGTATACAGTCGCCTTCAACACTCTCATCGTCAACTTCTCTTTTATACAGCTCATTGAACAGATAATCTATAGAAATCAATCTAAAAAATGCAGGTCGCGGCCGCTGATATCGACCAGGTGTTCGCACACACCACCAACCTAGCCTCGTGCAACCTAAACAGCAAGATCCTAGCCTGCTCAAACGACTACTTCGCTTCAGCTGATAACCTCTTAACCCCCACTCCTTCCATCTCACGCCCTGGCGTCTTCATTCACACCGGTGCCTGGTACGATGGCTGGGAGACCCGACGCCATAACCCAGATCCCTACGACTGGGCCGTGATCAAGCTGGGCGTCGCCGCAGCCTACATTCACGGCGTCGAAGTAGACACGGCACACTTCATCGGCAACTACGGCGAGAAGGCAGAACTACAAGCAACACATGTGCCGGAAGGTAGTGGCGTCACAGATGCCCAGATCGCAGACCCCAACTTCGCCGGCTGGAAGACTCTTCTACCCGCTTCGCCTTGCGGTCCATCCCAGC